AAAATGAAACATTTTAGCTTGGGGAAAAATAATATCAAACTCCAGAGAGTAAATCTGATTATCACACAACTTATTGGTAACCTGCAAAGTCATTCTTTGTAGAAAAAACATCAGAAATGCACCAGAAAAAGACTACAGGTTCTAGTTGAAACATTAACATTTTGACTAGTAAAAAGTACATCAAGCTCTTTAGGAATAGTCATGCCTGGTATGAGTTAAATAATCGTATACACTAGCAGTTGGGCGTACTCATTCACACCTAACAAGTGAAAAATATAACATGATAAATGAGAACCGAGCAAATTAACTAGATCTAGATCTACCATAATTGTTGAAACTTCGTTTATTAGGTCTGCCCAGTAAGAACAATAACAAAACAGGGAAATTCTGGTAGAGCGAATGATGAACAGGTGGGATAAGGTTTGATAAACGCAATGAAATGAGGCCCTGTGAGTAGCTTTTAGAAAAGTCAAATTAGAAGCAAAATTATTGTTTGTCTCATAAAAACAAGGAAACTAACCATGGCCTAGTAAAGAGTAGGCCAAGGCAAAGATCAAAAACTTATCTGGCTCAAATAAGTTGCAACACATTGTAGCACTTAGAATTAGATCACTGTCACAACAAACTAATGCTATTTTTTGGAAATGTTGAGATGACAATAACTAATGTTTCAATTACAGAACAGGGAGATTCTGGTACAGAGGGAAATGAGCAGTTGGGATCAACTTTGAGGTATACATTGAAATTAGGTTCCCTCTTTTTGTCTTCTGAAAAACCAGCTGATTCACTGAGCACCGGTAGATTCAACAATTGTTCCTCTGTTTCTTCTGATTTCCGTCTACGTCGCATTAGGTCAAAAAGCACTCTTTGTCGTCGTAGCGGTTGATCATGGTGTCGCTCTCATTTTTGAACAAATGTTATAGCCGTGGTCCATTTGATCTCCTCGTTACCTTCGTCATAATCCGAATTTTTGAGTCTTCTTGAAACTGCTTTGAAGTAAAAAAAAAAAAAAAAAAAAGTATAGTTTGCAGAAATTTCCCTGGCAGTTGCCCACTGTTGTGAATACTGGAATTCGTTTGGCAGCAGGAGTGGTCATAGAGTGCTCAGAATAATTCTCGCTCTGAGTGTGTCCAACCTCTAAAGAGGCGTGCTCCATTTTCTGTACACAGGGAGTGTTTTTAGGCAGAGTTCTCTTTCTCCTCGATGTGCATGTTCCGGTTTTAGCCCTTGCAGCTGTCAGAAAAAAAATGAAAACACTTTTTAGAGGCAATCTCATTTGAGCTGCATGAAGACACATGTTCTGGGCCATATATAGCACTGCACGTCTTGGGATCACAGGTCACAGAAAGTTAGGTTATAAACAGAAAGCTTTCGCTGAAGTAATAGCCCGAAGCTTCACCGTGTGGGCAAGACAGCACTTTTTGTAAATCAAAGCGGGAAGCCAATGTTGTTGGTTCGTCTGCTGCTCGTTGCTTTGTCAACGCCTTGTATTCTCTTGCCTTACGTTTTCTACGCAGGTGGTCTTCCTGAGTCTTCTGCTGCTCTTATGTTGGATTTTTAGTAGCATCAAATGTCAGGCATTGGACGCATTGGTTGTTGGAGTGAAAAAGCCAACGTTGAATTATTTCACAAGAATCACTTTATACTTTGAAAATGAAGCACATGTCTTTCCTTTGCTTCTGTGTAAATCTTCATACAGCATGCACATTGTACTTAGGCTCAAACCACGTTCTAGGTACATCGTACTACTGGATTACGACAGTAATGGGACGGAACTGTCGGGAAACTGTTGATATGGGCCTTTATCAGGGGCGGCTCATGGGGCTAAAAAGTGGGTGTGAACAATTAAGCAACAGCAGGTTGAAGATAGTCAAGGGCATGGTAAATGGGATGGTAGGATCTCTGGGTTGGTGAAGGAGGACCTTATGCTTTTATTTTTATTCTTTTTACCGCCCGCTTTGATTTCTAGAACTAAATCTGTTTGTTAGCTAAACATCAAGTTCTTTATCCTACATTGGAACTGAACACTCGAGTAATAACTTTCACCACTCCACTACAAAACAATTCAAAGTGAATCAAAGGCACAACTCATAGGGCAGTGACTGAAGTATGTCACGTTCACCTCCCTAAGGTTCACGGTCACAGAGTCACTTAAAATAGAGGCAAGACAATGAACCAATCACAATTCACTGGAGCACTCCGCCTGATTGCTCCGGGGATCACATAATTTTGGCATTGAATAGTGTACAGGCTATCGCGTTTATTTTTAGACCTCCTATTGTGGGCTATGTTTCGTGGGTGCACATTTGAGATATTACTTACTTACTACCCATTACGCCATCTGGCGTTTAGGGCACCAACAAAGGATCTCCAGCTCTGTCTGTTTTGGGCCATCTTGGTCAGCGTTCCCCACGAATGATTCCAGGACTTCATTTCAGACTCTACTGTGCGTCTTTAGGTTACTTTGGGTCCTTGAGATGTGCCGTCTTGTTAATATTAATGCACCGCCAAACTTGCTACGCGTGCCGTCATCGCTTTGATTATCCCAAAGAGAGATTTATAGGCCAGGTAACCACTGATAAATATTCTATTATGTTTAGTTAAAGCGCGTGAACTTTGGCATGGCATAGTAGATGTTTTACGGCGCTTTTGACACAGAAATGACAGTTACAGCGCCACTGAGGACCTTGTTATGATATTATATTTGGCTAATATTTGTTTCTGACTTCTTTTATTTCATGTTTGTGGGTTGTTTTCGTAATAGAACATTAAAAATTTTTGGGCGGCACTGCACGACCGTGCTCTATGGACGAACCGCGCCTGGCCTTTATGCCCTGAGCTGTTTCTTCCCCCACTGTGGCATGGTTGATGTGTGACCCTCTCTGATCAGTACAAAATAAATTAAGATTGTCAATTGTCAAAAGAGGCCCACATCGGTCATTTTCATCAAAGCATCGTAGACAACATCTTGTTTAGAAAAAAATTGCAACATACAGCTTGTCGTTCACAATCAGACCTGCATAGGCTGTAGTACAGAGAAGCTTTCCGTCTTGATCGCGCATTCTGTGAGCAAACACGAGTAGGAATGACTTTTTTGACGCATGAGACAATGACATGTTGTCGGGAGGTTTATGTCTCCCCACTTCCGATCGTTGGAAAAAATACTTTATCTCTCTTGTGCATCCAAATGTAAGTCTGTTCACCATTGTTGGGGTGTTTTTTCTCTAATTTTGTTTCCACTGGTCTGGCTGGCGTGATCGCTTTCTTGACACTTTCTTGGTGACATTTTCTGAGGACGCTTCGAAGAGGACGGATGATGCTCGTGGGGTCAATGGAATGGTTGAGTTGGGTTGGAAAGAGTCATCTTGAGGGCCCCCACAAGTCGGTGCGGCATAATCAGTTTGAGAAGGGTTGATTCCATTGCTCAGTCTGTGATGTGTTGAGTTACATCCTGGATCGTTGATGTAGCTGTCGCGGAAGAGGAAGACTAGGGAGTGTGCTGATCTGGGGCCTTGAAACGTGATGTACGTGCTGCCTTTTCTAGTGTAGAAAGAGGTAGATAGTCGTCTACATCAATGTCAGAATCGCTTGCAGGATGCAATGATGTGTGGTTCAGCGACTTTTTACATTTGTCCAAGTTCTATGACATCAGCGTCAGACCGTTCGGTGTCTGTGTCACACTCACAGTCATTCCTTGTTATTCGTTTCATCTCCTGTTACCCCTGTATATCCACGCTACAAGTTCTATACAACTCAACACAGAAGGGTGGTGTTGTTTTGGAAGACTTCTGTATGTGACGCATACAGGTCTCTTGGAGCACAAAAACAGTATAGCAAATTTCTGTATGCTACCTTACAGGAATTTAGCCAAACACTATGTAGCAAAAATGCGAGCAGGAATGTTCTAACTTTGTTTCTACTTAACACACATGTTTCATAGTTAGAATCAAGGTGCGCCGTGTTCCTAGCTTTCGATTTTTGCAACCCCCGCTCCCAGTTTCTTGGAATTTTGGTCTTTACAGCAGTTTTTGACTGGGGCGACGATTTGTCTCTTAATCTGTTTATAGGATGAATCGACACTGCTTGGTGCCTACTCCTTTTTCACAAACACAACAGCAATGCTGATAGTTGTTTCCCAGACAGCGCCATTTTATCAAATAAGGTCAATGCCCGAAGTCGACGGAATGACGGGTGCAGTATAGTTGTGATTTTGCATCCTTCAACCGCTTTCAGTTTGCAGGCACCAGGCGGACGGAGCTAGTATATTTCGGCTAAAGTAGGGGAAAGAGGTGTGAATATCTGTACAATTTTGTGTAGAAATCTAATGGTTTGAATTTCAAGAAAAAATCTTTTAAAAATCTCAACTTCAGGGTGATTAGACTGAGCTCTGATTATTGAAAATCGAAACTAAATGTCTTATTCGATACTGTAAGCGATTACACCTAGTTAAACTACATCAAAGAAATATAGTGAAATAGTAGTTGCAGTTCCCTGATCTCTGCTCCCCCATAACGATGACGTCAGCAGCTGCTGGGCCCTGGCGAGGTGGGCGTTGGTGTGAGTGGTCAATAGGTGTGTCCTGGCGCAAGACACGATAACCGTAGCTCATAAACAGGATGCTGCACAGTGGTAACCAGTAGGGGTGTGCAGATAGTCTATGTTTGTGGTATTGTCAATTATTCATACGTTTTATGTATTAATGTTTTTTGTCTTTATATATATACCATTGTTAAACAAATTTCCTCGAAGTAGAATTTGCTTTAGTCTATTTTCTATTCAATAGAACTATTCCTAAGACGTAATAATAGCTAGGTTGTCGTCAGTTCGTCATAACTGTAAGGGCGGGCAAAAGCAAAACATGATGGTCAAAACCCAACGTTGAAGGTTATCGTGCGGAAGGCACGCAGGCAGTTAGTTGTTTTATATTGAACCAACTTTGATTTTTACATGAATACAACATACATTAGAAGTCATGGACCGTTGTCTTGATCAATACTCACCTACAAGCGGTATCGTCGACGCAGCCTTTGGCGTAGAATCCGCTAACAGAAGTAGGAGCACAAAAAATGCCACGAAAATGTTCATACCTAAGACAGAAGGTAGAGTGAACAAACTGTCAATGTTCACTGGCAAGCAAAACACTCTACTCACCAATAAGAGGTATCCTAGCTGTTGCTTTTGGCGTGGTGTCCGCTAACACTAGCAGGAGCAAGAAATACGCCAAGAAAATGTTCATACCTGGGTCAGAGAAGTCAAACAGTCTAGTTTAGAGCCACCACAGGCCGTATTAGGCTTACTTATTTTTTTCTGTGTTATTTGTTTGCTTGGGTTGCGCGCAGATTGCGTCGATCAGGGAAAAGTAAGGCAAAAAAGCTAGATCTAGTTATGTTGGTACGGCTACCCTCATGTTACATGTAAAACGACGAAAGGGACTGCTTGTAAAAGTGGAAAACCAAAAGTAAAATGATATAATACATAATATCCACATATGTACTATAAAGTGGCGTCCAAAAGAAACTTGAAAATCTAATCACTCAATCATCTTGTTAAAGTCTTGCACTACCCACTCATGCAGCAAACCAATTTAAAGCTAAATAAATTCTGCATCATCTTCCACATTATTATTTCATATATGTTAAGAGATGCGCCAGATTTGGTCACCCAAAATTGACCTAAAAAGTTCAGGCCTGGAAAATTGTGCGAAATCAAAGAAACGCAAAAGAGTATTTGCGCGATTATTAGGAGTATCACCATTAATGGAAGGAAAATGTATTGAATATCAAATGAAAAGAGAATTTCATTATCTCTGCAATGAACATCATCTTCTGGATATATTCTTAAACAGATTGGAAAACACAACAGTCACAAATACCACGCAAAACATGGACTTACTATTAGATGTGCTCATTACTATAATTTTGTTTTTGATTAGGAGCTGTTGGTTTCGTGTAGAGCAGGTACCCTTTTTAAAACATGGACTGTGTTAGTGAGATTTTAGACAAACCATCTGTCAGTAAGGAACAGAGGCTACGAAACTGCCATAGTTTTGTATGGTCTGGGGTGGAATGAACAAAACTGCCCTTGTGAGAATCACAGGATGGCTTGGTTAAGTGAACTACAACCAACGCGCAAGGGCTGTAATATCATGTCTTACCCTTATTTTCGTCAAGGTACCATTAAAGTAGACATCACCATGCCCTACACAGCACTTTCTCACGGGACCAGTGCCACTAAACAATTGTTGGAGAACCAAATCATATCAACGTTGGAGTGGTCACCAGTTAATAACCTCGAAGTGAATCCTACAGGTATGTGAAGCCCGATAAAACAGTAGCTCAAGAAAAGCGACTTTGCTCCAGGTACGGTTCGTCCATAGAGCACGGTCGTGCAGTGCCGCCCAAAATTGTTTAATGTTCTATTAAATTAAACACCTACAATAATAAAATAAAAGAAGCCAGAAACAAACACTAGCCAAATATTATATCAAACCAAGGTCCTCAGTGGCGCCATAACTGTCATTTCTGTGTCTATAGCACCGTAAAACATCTAGTGTGCCATGCCAAAGTCCACGCGCTTTAGCTAAGCATAATAGGATATTCAACAGTGTAATCTGACCTATAAATCACTCTTGGGATATCCCAAGCGATGACGACACTCGTAGTGAGTTTGGCAGTACGTTAATATTAATAAGACGGCACGTCTCAAATGTGCTCCTGCCGAATAGTGCTGAAACATAGCCCACAGTAGGCAGTCTAAAAATAAACACGATAGACCATACGCTATTCTTTGCCCATATTATGTGAGCCCCGGAGCAATCCAGCGGGGTGCTCAAGTGAATTGTGATTGGTTCATTGTCTGTCTTGCCACTATTTTAAGTGACTCTGTGACCGTGAATCCGAGGGAGGTTAACGTGACAGTTCTACGAGTTGTGCCTTTGAATGGTTTTGTAGTGGAGTGGTGAAAATTATTACTTGAGTGTTTAGTTCCAATACAGGATGAACGAAATTGATGTTTAGCTAACAAATAAATTTAGTACACTAGAAATCAAAGCAACAAGTAAAAAGAATGAAAATAAAAGCACGAGGTCCCCCCTCACCAACCCAAAGATCCTGAAATTATACACCGTCTCATTTACTATTACTATGCCCTTGACTATCTTCAGCATGAGATAGTTTAATTGTGTACGTCCACTTTTCAGCCCCACAAGCCACCCTTGCTCTGCTCCCAATGCATGCTTTGCAACTCTCTGTGACATTTGGGATGAAATGACAGGAACTATGTCCAAAGTTTAATAGAGTCGATGCCCAAAGCGTTCGTTCTCTGCACATAAACCAGTGACTCCTAAGCATAATAACAATGAGCACATCAAACATTTTTAAGCCCAAGTTTTGCATGGTATTTGTGACTGCCCTGTTTTCCGTTTTATTTGAAACCATCGTAATGAAATATTGTTTATTGCAGAGACAAAATTCTCCATTAATTGGGCAATGTATGTACACTCTATCAATGTTGGTGGTCCTCAATACAGGCGCGAAGACAATTTTATGTTTCTTTGATTTCGCACAATTTTGAAAAGCCTGATTTTTGAAGGTCAATTTTGAATGACCATATCGCGTGCGTCTCTTAACATACACAAAATATTAATGTGTCAGATAAAACAGTACTTCTTTAGCTTTAAATTTTTATGCTGCATGAGTGGGTAGTGCAAGGCTTTAACATGATGATTGAGTGATTATATTTTCAAGTTTCTTTCGGACGGCATATAGATCTATGAAGTTTTTTAAATTATATATATCGCAGCTATGGGCCAATTCCGTGGCAGGGAGCCAATTGCGTGTCATGTTGCCAATTTTGTGACAAATTTCTATACCCGAAGAGGCTGAATGAAATGCACGTGCGGCACCTTTGCCAGTTTCAAGTTTTTTTAAAGAAAATACTTCCTTGCCAAAACCGAGCCTGAGACTGCCGAGGATAGCAATGCACGACCACGCACAATTGAGCACTGAAGTTGAAGTTCAGACATTGACTTTGGCTCAGAATGCTTTGTTCGCTAACGTAAATAGCAATTCTTTCATGACGACATTGAGGATGTACGACACTTGCAAAACAAATAAGTTATAAAAGTGCTGAAACATTTGAGGTATTACCTGGGAGTAACATACTTTGAAAAGAAGGAGGAGAGGTATGGATTTTTGATAAGAAAGAAGGAACAAACCATTCCAGGGCACCCGCCAACCACCCACAGAAGAATAAGAAAACTCCCATGAAGTTTTAGTCCAAACAACTCTAGCAGAATCTCAGAAAAGAAATGTTGAAGAGCGTTCTCCATCCTGCAGGAACGACGCCAGAGAAAAGGGGGGGGGGGAGGGGGGAGGGGGGGGGTCTCGTGGTCTAGAGGTTAAGGTGTTGGCCTCCCATTCAAAGGTCCAGAGTTCGAATCCGTATAGCAACCTTTAAAATTTTCTTCTCTAAAATTGTTTCATTTCACCCCCTTTCCTGCTCTCTAGCAATGTTCTGCTTTCGTCTCCTCTTTCTGCCCCCACCCCCTCACCTCCTTTGCCCCCTCCTCTGGGCTCCGGACTCTTTCTGTAGCCTTTCTACTGCTACTCCTAGGCTCCCTCTTACTGCTGTCTCTCAGCCACACCCCTGATCTTCTGGTAGGAAAGATCTACACCTACCCTTCACGGACAAGGGCGAAAAATCTCGAAGGGCCTGTGTGCAAGTTGCGCACGTTAAAGATCTCTTGGTGGTCTAAAATCGGCCGCCACCAGGGAAAAATTCAAAATTTCCTACAATATGAAAAAGTTAAATGTGTCCCGTGCGCTAATATGACTTTATGCAGTTGCAAGCGCCGTAAAACGCTTACCAAAAAAGAGACGCCTAGAGAAACAGGACCATGGACTATGCAAAGCCTAATGATGAGATACATCCATATCATGCAAAAAGTTGATTTCCACTAGGCCCCTACCAAGTTCAAAATGTTCAACGAAACTAAATTATGTCTTGTTCGGAGACTTTGTTCACTGAGGTTGTCTTATATTTATGGTGGTGTTGAATTTTAGTGTAAATTCTGATTTTACTTCTTTTTCATTAACGGTTTTCGATCATGTTTAATTAGTTAACGTGTTTTGAATCTGGAAGAGGGTTTGGAATAAAGTAAGTCATGTCACAAACACGAAACAGAAGAGACTTAATCCATTGGGTTTCATTTTGTGTCCATACATTTATGTTCTCGGTAACAGTTTACTTACTAACTATGGTGTGGAAAGAAGGAGAAATGCAACCTACAATTGGTATGACGTCATTGCAAAGCAGCGTCGCTTTGCACTTTCGATACGAAAGCAGTAACAGATTTGGTGCATTACCGGATGGCACAAGCACATTTGTCACTCAATTTTGTGCTTCCACGCAATTGGCTCTTACACAATATATATATATGTGTGTGTGTGTATATACACACATCATATATATTTATATATACTCTTTAACATTTTTAACTTCACACCTTTTAAGAGCGTGTAGCTAAACAAAACACCTATCCAATTACTTTGAAATTTTTACACTTGTCAAGCAAGCTCATTGTCGTTTGTGAATTGTACTCACTTAAGTGCAATGGTCTATCGTTTTATCTGACGATGTCATTCACGGGGTTTCGGTGTTTTGTCGAATACTTAAAAAATATGTGGGTAACTTTGGAAACAAAACTACACACATAAAGTTGGACTCCTTCCAAATTTTCCCCCACACCAAAAAGTGGTTTCTCTTGATCGATTCACCATGCTTTGGCTAAGTGAATCAGAGTGAAATCCCGTCATTGAAAAGCTTCAGGTGGGCACCCTTTCGTATGTCGCGAAGAGGTTCAACGTGAACAGCCACACTGTGTATGCGACACGAGATCACATGGTAACGATACTTTACTATTACTTTTACTTTTTTATCCTCTGTTGCCAGTTAAGCGTCGAGGGAAGATGCAGTTTTCTATGGTAGGCCAACTCCACTCTTTCAGTTGTGATATTATTTTCTCAAGTTTTCTTTGACACCCTCGATAAGCTCCCAAAAGTACATACCTTAGCGAGTAGGACGCAGA